CGAAAACATCCGCACTCGCCTTGCCACTTTCTGGATTGCGGCAAGTCTTTGAGCAGTTGAGGGTTGCATCTTCGTTATTGCTGGAAGGGGAACGCGGGCGGAGTATCTTGAAGCCTCCAGCCATTCTCTCTGAGTGGGATCCGCAGTCCAACCAGCAGCACCTGGCACAACTCTCTGCATTGAGCTTGTCGATGACGTTAGTGAGGAGCCGTTGCGCTACTCCCAACGTGGGAACTGTCAGCCCGGCATGCGCTTCGGCCCGAGATTGTCGACTCCCAGATCCACTGGGACATCTGCGAGGCCGAATGCGAGCTCGAGCGCATGCCGGAGTACATCTCAAGGCCGACCAGGAGAGCAAGTTACTTTTCGCACCCTGGAGAATTTGCAGCCACTACCTGTCTTCGGGAAGTTAGCCCTTCCAGCACTGGTGAGGTCCGCTCTGCAATTCTAATTCTGGCGTATTTTTTGTTCGCGAGGGGCCGACAGGGGCAGGGTCGCGGGCCAATACCTGAAAGCATACGTGGCTCGGTGCGCCGAGGCGCCCTCGCGCTTGCTTCGCTATGTGCTCACTACAGTGGAAGGCAAGGCCCCGACACGCACCTTTTTCCGTTTTCTGCGATGTTGCAGCAACAGCTAGTCATAAATTGCGGGATCGGCCCGACACTCACGCAATGCTTCTTCCTTCGCAGCGACGAAGCATCAGCCCGACAGGACATCAACTAACGGGTCGTGTTAGTTCCGCCCGACGCGCACACACAAACGCACAGCCGCGCACCGCACACGCACACACAAGTCGTTTGCAGGGAAAGCGTTCGTTCTTTCAGACCGCGGGCCACCACATGCGCAGACCCTGGGGACAATCATGCGGGCAATACTTCTGTCCATATCCACTGCAGTATGGAGTTTCGGGCTCCCTTCCCAAGAAACCCGAGGCGCACTGGATATGGATAAATTTGCCCCCTAGAGGCTCGATTTTTATCCATATCCAGTGCGCCTCGGCCTTGTGGCGCCGCTTCCAAAAAAGTCCAAGAGGCACTGGATGTGGACAGGAATCTTGCCCGCAAATCACAAGGGAATCGTTGGTAAGTCACGCGGAATAGGGTATGCGCAGACAGTAGACGCACACACGCCCTCACACAGTTTGGCGTCGCGGCCCTCGGCGCAGCGACAGGGCGGAGACGGTCGTAAACCAAGGGCAGAGAAAACGCCCCTACCCTGGTTTACGAGGCGCTGTGCGCTAAAACTCCTGTGGGCTGACAGGGTAAACCCTGCGTGATGTGCCGCGTCCTGGCGGCTCTAGGCTTTGGGGGTTCCCAGGAGTTTTACAGACCGCGCACTTGTAACCCAGGGTAGGGTCGTTTTTTTCAGCTCTCAAGTAAAGCAGCAAGATTTGACCCTTTGTGCCTGTGCTCTTTTTCGCCTCGCCCCTCACTGCCACCCATCGTTGCTGATAAGTCCTCCGGTCCGCATTTCCCGATCGCGCAACCAAGAGTTCTCGAACGACAGTGCGTCAGGCACGCCGAACGAAGTCGCACTTGGAAGCACCTCAGAGTATCACCAACATTGTAAACATCGTGATATTGCGTGTTCATCGGCAGGCTGGATTGGCACTGCGTGTGCCGTTTGATGGAACTGGCGAATCCTGCACAACATGAATACATCCAATACCAGCCGTGCTGCGGGCCTTTCCTGTCTGGAGTCTGAGCGCGAGATGTCACGTGTGGATTGGCATGCGAGATGTTGGCTTTTACGATGTGCTGATATCTGTAATGGTTTTACAGAGGTCGTCCAGCATTGATGCTTCTGCCTGTGCACCCGTCGACAGATCCATTCCATGGGACGGCATCGTGGCGATCGGCAACGCGACCAAGGACCAGAGCTGGTGGCAGGACCCTGCTGGCGACGACCCGACGCTCTTGTTCAGCATTGATGCCAGCGTTCGAGACCAAGACCTCGACAACGTGCTTGCAAGGAGTCGGGGAGGGAGACGGTCGGGGTCAGGGACAGGATAATCTTGTCGTTGCTTGTCAGGAGTTTGCCGCCCAGGCGTGTCCCCAAATCTTCAATTAAGATGTGTTTGCGCCCGGAGTGCCAAGTGGTAGGTTTCGAGTTTCAAGTGGAAGGTCTGCACTTCCATTCGAGAGGCTTTTGTATCCTCATGGCTTCCTTTCCAGAGTTGAAGAGCATGATGGTTTTTCGTGTGTGTTTGTGTGTGCGGTGTGTATGTGTGTATGTGTGTGTGTGTGTGTGCGTGAGCTTGCATCTTGCGTTCGTGTCATCGCCACCGGGCCAGAGGGCGAGGGACTTAGAAAAGCCATGGCGTGGAGAAGGTTCCCCACGGAGAGCTAGGGCGAACAAATGCCGATGGCTCCAAGCCTCCTGGCACTTAACACGCCACCATGTATTCAAAATGCCCCCAACCAACATAGCGAAAGCTCAAACACGTTAGGGCGATGATCATAGCATTTCCATGAGAATTCTTCGCGGTTGTTGTGGGCAGATTCGGTGAGAAGCTGGGGATATTCTTCAACACCTCTCAGAGACTTGGCCCACTCGCAGGCCCATCCCCTAGTTTTCCCGCGGAGCAGGCGAGAAGGCAGGAGAGCAGATGTCGAGTGGGGGTTCGCCTGGAGTGGGATTATCGGGCCCCAATCTGACCATCCTGGTGCAGATCCCTGCCCTTACGATTTACATCACCTCAGGTCGGTGCCGATCTTGAGGAATCCCTCGGTCTCCGAGGGCACGTCCTCATGAATTACATCGCACTGGGCCTGTGACTCTGCGGGATAGGGATGCGCCCGATGCCGGTTACCCTTCTCCGCTCCCAGGGCGGAGGAGGCTGCTCGGTGCGGGGCCGGCCGCGCGTCCGCGGCATGCCGATCTTCTGTTGGCGCGGGCCCGTCTGAGTTCTGCGCGAGGCCGTGGCCTACTGCGGAGGAGGTGCACGAGGGACGGAGGCGGCTCGGCCGAGTCTCCTGCGGCATGCCTCCCCCGAGGTCGGCCCGCCGGGTGCGAGCCCCGAGATCGGCCCGCCGAAGGCAAGCCCATCCCCTGCGAGACGGGCGCGCGATGGCAGTCTCCTGCCGGCCCGTGCGTCCGGAGGTGCTCGCCACTCCTCAGGGGGGGGCCGTGCAGCAATGCGCACACACAGTCTGCGCTTCTCGTGCGGTCGCTTCCTGTGGACATCTTGACTGTTATCCTGCGGTGGTTGCCCGTTGCCCTGCGTTCCCAACCCCACGGTAGGCCCTCGGGGTTGCCCCAGCCTGTTGCCGTGTCCTGTTCCTCCCAAGCAGCGCGTTCACCTCGGAGGGGCAAGGGGGGGTCCGCACTCGAGCTATCAGGAGCTGTTCGTTTTGCGAGGCAGGTGCTGCTGTCGCACCATCGGGTTGCACGCGCCGTGGTCTTCGGACCCCCTTGTGGCTCCACGCGCCTTTTTTTCCCCGTGCGGTCCAAAAGGCGTGGCGTTTGGAACCCCCTGGGGTTCCACACTCACGGGGTGTCATGCACGGGGTTCCACATGCATGGGATTCCACGCCTGAATGGCTCCTCGTGTATGGGGGTTCCACGCAGATAGAGTTTCTCACACATGGGATTCAACGGACGTGGAAGCACACATGGAGTTTCGCACACACGCACACACATGGGTTCCACCCGCACACACGCGAACACACACACACACGACATGCATGCGGGGTTCCAACACATTGGGATCCACACGGGGCTCACGCTCGCAGCCCGAATACACTGGTTGGGTCCACGCACTGGCATAATCTTACAAAGGCACCCGCTCAATTCGCCTACCGCTATCACCGACTGTCGTTTCTGCTTTTGCTGAGGCTGATGCAGCACAGCAGTTGGAGACTGGAGTTCACGCAGCGCACGGAAGGCTCTCTGGGGAAACCGAAAGGCACCGATACTATTACTCCCCGGCCCGAGGTAAGTTCTGACCAGAATCTTCAGGCGAATCAAGCGGTGGCGACGACGGCCTCCAAGGAGGCCCAAAAAGGCGAAAACAAGTGAGGGGTAGCAGTATCGATACCTTTTCATCTGACTCTCCGCGATTCGCGCGCCATCTCAACTCACCGGAGCAGCAGGAGTAGCAGCAGCAGCAGCAGCAGCAGCAGCAGCAGCAGCAGCAGCAGCAACGGCAGCAGCAACGGCAGCAGCAAAAGCAGCGCCAGCAGCACCACCACACCTGGAGCCATTCGCACGTCAGAGGGGGCAGGGCGCGCCTGCACAGCGGGCGCCTGGGGGGGGGCCCGCGAGGAAGCTGCAGCAGCACGCGGTCGAGACCGGCATCCCGCTCAAGGCGATGCACGTCGACGTCACGAAGCTGTGGATCAAGGACGCGGGCCTCGGGGAGACGTCGTCGCCGAGCGTTCTGGGTGCTCGGGGGGGGAGGGGGCAGCTCCGCCGCTCCACTCGACCCGTGGCCCTGTCACGGAGTCGATTCGGGCCCGCTGGGGTCCTCCGGTCCCAATATCTCTGAGTGCGATGCGATGGCAGCGGCTTGCTCGCTCAAGGGCTTGGCCCCCGCCCGCCAGCCGCGCGCCAGCCGCGCGACAAAGGGTCGCTCCGTGTGGCTGTGCCCCAGGAGCTGTGGGGATCGAGGTGCGAATTTGGCCGTGCCCCGGCCCCGTCCTCCTTCTCCTCCTCCTCCTCCTCCTCCTCCTCCTCCTCCTCCTCCTCCTCCTCCTCCACCCTCCTCCTCCTCCTCCTCCTCCTCCTCCTCCTCTTCCTCCTCCTCCTCCTCCTCCTCCTCCTCCTCCTCCTCCTCCTCCTCCTCCTCCTCCTCCTCCTCCTCCTCCTCCTCCTCCTCCTCCTCCCCCCTCCCTCCTCCTCCTCCTCCTCCTCCCCGCGTCCCTGTCCGCCAGTGATCCTGGAGTCCGCGAAGCCTCTCCTGCTGGCCGTCGTGGCGAAAGTGCACCCCTTGGGGCGTGCGCGCGCGCGGCTTGGCTGGCTGGCTCCTCCCGGCGCGTTCGATTTTTTGTGCACCGCCCGCGTGACGAGGGCATTTGCACGGATTTGGCCACGCGCCCACCCACCCGCGTTCAATCTGAGCTTACTTATCGCATGTCGAATCGTGGGTTGCTGCTGGCTTGCCTGGCGACTCATTGAATCGCATGGCGATTGCCGATGTCTAGCGTGGAGTTCGTCTCAGATAGCCGGGGCCGTCTTCGCCGACATTGGCGCCCTAAGCTGCCCGCGTAGGTTCTCGCGCGTTGGCGGCCTGCGTCAGCTGCGGCGTAAGGTCGCCATGCCGTCTCGCGTAGGACAATCTTCTCGTCGCCCACTCGTTGTTTGACTTCTCGTCGCCCACGCGTTTTCTGAAAAGAAAGAACGTTCAATCCCGAGAGGCGTGCTTGGCGCGGTGCGGGCTCAAGGCCAGCCGGGCGACGGGCGCATGGCGCGCCACGTTCCCCGCAGTTCGGGGGGCTGCCAGCGGTGCAGCGGTGGCCCCCCGGCCTGGGTTTTGTCCCCAGGAGTTCCCAGGAGGCCCCCCCCCCCAGGGACAATAACTGGGGGCTTAGGCGTAGGGGGGGAGAGGGGATGCATCCACCCTCAAGCGTCCACTCATCGCCGATCGGGGCCCGATAGCCCACCCCCGCCCAGGAACTTGCGGATCCACGATCGGGAGCCTATCGCCGATCTATCGACTATGTATTGCAGATCCCAGGTCGATGTTTCCCCCCTATGCCGGCCCCCCCCCTATCGTTGCCCCTCACCCCGAACCTCTCTCTCTCTCTCTCGAGGATTGCAACCTTGCGTGAGGACCGCCCCCCTTCGTCTTCTCTCTCCCCCCCAATCGGAGGCACAACGTTGGCGCTCCCACGCGCACGCGCACGCCTTGCCCAGGGCGCTGCAACCCCGCCCGTTTACGGGCCAAGCCCTGTGGTTGGACCGGGCTTCTGCCTTTGCCTGCCCCCCAGGCCTCCAGAGCCCTCACGAGGCCCAGAAGGGGTCCAGGAGTTCCACAATGTGGCGAATGGCTTGGGGTGCTTGCGGGCCAGGAGCACTCGTGGCCCACCCCCCCGCCGACAGGCCGACCTGAATGGCCTCGGGGGGCGCGGGAGGCGAATCACAGATCCGATGTTCCTGCAGACATGGCGGCCAGAGCCCGTCCGCAGAAGAAGCTGTCGGAGGCCAAAGGGGCCCACAGCGCCTCTGCCGGCGGCGCCGGAGCACCCGATCGGCGTGCACCGGCGTGCGGCGCAGACTCTGGCCGTATAGTGAGTGGGTTTTGTTGGGGTTAGGGACCGCTTTGGCTTAGGCACGGGACGGCTGTTCTCCACGTTGCTGCCATGCAGTTCCTTAAACTGGGCGCCCCGCCGGGGGGGAAGTGAAAGAGGGCAGGCCTTCTCAGTAGGCGTCGGGCCTTCTCAGAAGCCCTCTCTCTGGCCTTCTGAGAAGCCGTCCCTGTCCCCAGAGAAGGCTCAGAACATTGCCCAGAAGGCACGAGGGCTTCTGAGAAGCCCCGCCGACGGCCGGAAAGGCCGGGCCCCCTTTGCATTCCCCCCCTTGGCTCGCCGCCGGATTCAGCGATTTGGTTTGGAAATGGGCTGGGTCTTCCTCATGTTGCTTCCATGGGGTACCCTAGACAGCTTGTGCGTAAAGACCAGGTGTTTCTAGCGCACGGTGAAGGGCGCCCTGCCCCTCAGAGCGGAGGCTCATCGTTACCCCCTGTCGTTGCCCCCCATCCCAGGCCGCCAGGATCAGTGGTTTATCGATGCCCCCGTTGCCCCCCGTCGTGGCCCCTACGCCCATCCCTTTTATCCCTCTCCTCGTCAGGTCTAGCCCTTCTCCCTTGATCCCTGTCCAATGTATCCCCGTTCCTGCGCCTGTTCTCTCACCGTGGGCCCCCCTATCGTGCTCCCCCATCCTAGCTGCGTAAAGCTGGTCGGGCCGCATCACTTTTTTTCCGTTGGCGCTCCTCGTAGACATGGGCGTGATTGGGGCCCGAGAGGGGCTTCGATCCTCCCCCAGCGCTCCTCATGTCACGCGACTGGTCGTAGTCCGCCCGCCCGGGAAGCTCCAGAAACGTACCAGACCTCCAACGCAACGATGCTGACCCGCCCTCCTTTCGAAACCGCTCCATGGACCTCTCCTGGGGTGCGTTCTGCATAGGGTTTCGGCAGAAATTCAGCCACTACGAAGGAAAGCCTCCCAGCGGCCCCCAAAGACGGAACCTCCGAAAACCTGGCCTCTCGAACCTCGAACGTCGAGCATCGAGCGAGCAACAATTATCACGACGACGACGGCGACGACGACGATGACGTCTGGACGACTGACGACGTCGAGGACGGATCGGATGAAGGAAGGAGAAGCGACACCACCATTAGGAAAGCCACCTCCAACACGGAGGTCCGCGAGGGATCCCCGAGCTGGGGAAAGGAGGTGTCTCGAGCGGGAAGGGGGGTCCACACCACCAGGAAAACTCTCTGGCTCCTCGCTCTGGTGGTGTTTCGAGCAGTAAAAGCTCTCGACGCTTCGCGTATCCCCACCAGTCTTGGCGCTGCATTTCGATCAGTGGCTCTTCCTTGTCCACCGCGTTTCCTGATCCTCAGCGTAGCCCGGTCCTGTGCGCTCTTGTGCGGAATGTCGGCCGTTGCTTGTTAGCCGCGTTTCTGGACGGCGCCTGGCACCCCTGCGCGCTCGCGAACAAAAAATATCCCCACCTGTCCTCTATTTGCTCGGCGTCCGACATGATTCGTGCGCCTGCGTACCTAAAAGTATCCCCACCAGCCCAGTCAGAAGTAGATCGCCATGCGAGATGCCTCGATCAGGGAATTGTAGAAGAGCGCAGTGTAAGAACCGCCTTGGAAACATTATCTCGGAGGTCTCTTGGAGCCATTTCGGGGCTCTCTTGGGTTCCTCGCGGGCCCTCTTGAAGCACTCGAGGCCCTCTCGGGGCTCTCCTGGAGCCTTCTTGGGACTCGGCGGTGGGGTCTGGGAGGCCTCTTGGGGCCATCTTGTCCCCCATGGGTTTTAAAGGGGGGGGTCGGAAATTCAGGCCCCCCCCCATGGGAGGTTCACAGATGGTGTCTTGAGGCTCTCTTGGGGCGATGTTGGGGCGCTTGGGCGCTCTTGGGACTGTCTTGGGGCTTTCTTGAGCCCCTCTTGGGGCTCTCTTGGGTCGCCATCTTGAGGCTTCAAGAGCCCGTCGGAAACGAAAAGGCGACAAGGCAAAACGCACAGGTTTTTCATCCGGTTTGGAGCCATTGCGGCCTCTTGGGGGGGGGTCCTTAGAGGGTTCTGAGGGCACTTGAAACCGTCTTGAGGTCGTCTGAGACCTCTTAGATGTATCGGAGGCTGTCTCGAAACATCTCGAAGTATCCTGAGCCATGTGGGAGCCCATCTTGCACTCTCAGAGGCCCTCTCGGGGCCCTCGTGGGCCATCCTGGACGATCTGCCCCTCGCGGGGTGCCCCTTCCAGGCCCAGGGAAGGGGATATGGGGGAGGGGTCAAGGCACCCTCCTAGATAGCAAGCCGTCCAGCTCACTCCCACCCGCCCTCCCGACACATAAGTAACACGGCTCGCGAAAACTTCGGACGGTTCGCGAGGGTTTCGGAGGAAGTCCCAAAGGCTCGCCACGGGGGACACCGGTTCTGAGGGCATCGGGTCTTCAGGTTTTTCGCCGCTTTCGGGCCCTCGCGAGCATGAATTGTGCAACATGTGTTTCAAGCGGGAAGCTCTGTCGAGTGATATTTCGGTGCCACGCGGGGTGGTGCCCTGCTCCAGAGCGTGGGGATATCTAGTAGTTCAACCATCACCCAGTGATGTCTTCATGTCGGGGCAACGTAAGACTCGAGTGTGCCGGGACTCGGGCTAGCCAGCGGTTTTTGACGAGTGCGTCTTGGATTTTGACGGTGCTATTTCCGTGGGATGTTTGCAGCGGGAGCTCGCGTCAAATTCCAGACCGGGTCTCGACATTTTTGTGGCCGGCCTCGTCAGGCCAACCCGAGTCCCCAGAACCCGAGTCTTACGTCTCCCCGATCAGTGTTTCAGTGCCGTCGTAAAGACTCGTCATGGCGCCCGCATCGCAGAGCGGATTTCGTTCGGAAAACAATGGGATGGGCCCGGAGTGTCCTGGAGCATTCCGTTCTGGATGTCGAGGTGAACGTCGTGCGGATTTGTTTCGGCCCGGAATGAAGACTACAAGAAGTCCGCGTGAAACGCACTCCGTTTAAAGCTCGCGCTTTCGGGGCTTTGCGTGCACGGAAACCACGCCAGAAGTCTGCCGCAGCACGTCTGCCAGGGCGGTGCAGCGACCCTGACCTTCCAGGAGGGCAAAACAATGGCACCCGACTTAAAAACCTATCCCAAAGCTATTCTCCGTCTTGGTTTTAGGCTGCTTCGCTCATCTCTTTTTAGGTTTTTAGGTCTCCAGTGCTAAAAAATGGCTCTCTGGAAGGTCAGGGGAGAAGGCCCCCCCGGGGGCCCAGGGCCCGTCGCCCCCGGGGCCCGCCCACAGAGGGCGCTCCGGAGGCCTGCCCCGTGCCCTGACCTTCCGGGGAGGTGCCCTGCCTTAGCACTGGAGACCCAGACACCTAAAGAGCTACGGGAAGCAGCCTAAAGCCAAGACGTAGAAGAGCTCTGGGATAGGTTTGTAAGTCGGGTGCTGTTTTGTTAGCCCTCCTGGAAGGTCAGGGTGGGCGCGCCGTCGAGTCTCTGGGGCCGATCTGGTGCGGACTCCGGCTGGAGGGGGGCGCCGCTCTGGAGGGGAAAGGCACGCAGGCACAAAAAGTTGCCGATTCCCGCCGACTCCCCAGAAGAGGTGGGAAAGTTCCAGGCCTCACAGGCGGGATCCGAACAGGCGGGGTCGGAGGATTGCGCCGCATCGCCGATGCATCGGCGATGCGGCTCGATGTGGAGCCCAATTTTCTCCGCGCCGACGTCGCCGATGCATCGCCGACGTCGGCGATGCATCCCTGGTGCATCGCCGATGTGTCGCAGGTGCATCTCCGATGTATCGGCGATGCGGCGCGATCCCCCGACCCCATCTACTCCGACCCCATCTAGGAGGCCTCTACACACAGACACAAAGAATCGCCGATCCCCCGGAAAATAGGGGAGAACCTGGGAAGTGGGGGGAAGGCGAAACTCAAGAGACTCTGGAAAGAAAGGGGAATCATGGGATCTGTGTCTCTTTCTTTCTTTGTGTGTGTGTCCCTGGGCCCCAGTCGGCCGTCGCCGCCCGATCTGCAGGACAGGACGCTCGAGCTGGTCTCCTACTACGACTACGAGCCGCCCTGGCAGAGCCCCGGCGCGGACGCGCGGGAGCTCTTCTTCCCCCTTGAGGTCTACGGCAGCTGGCTCAGCCACACCACTGAGGACGGGTCTCCTCCCTCCTTCCTCCTCCTCCTCCTCTTCCTCCTCCTCCTCCTCCTCCTTCTCCTCCTCCTCCTCCTTTGCGACCTTTGCGAGCAGGCTCCACGTCGCTCGGGTACCTCCTCCTCCTCCGCCTCCTCCGCCTCCTCCTCCTCCTCCCTCCTCCTGGGATTTTGCCTGGGATTTTGCAAAGGCCTACGCCGTTCAAGACCTCCAGCTCGGCCTGGGCCACGAAGATGTCGACGTGGCCCGTCACGCACGGGCGCCAACGTATCCCTCTCGATTCAAGGTCGAGGAGGAAGGGGCGGGGGAGGTTGGAATCCTTGTGCCGAGGAGGAGGGAGTGGGCGTGCACTGCTGGCGACTCTAGGACAGCATCGACAGCATGTCGATGAGGGCACACGGGCGCTAGACCTGCCGAGAGCAGTCATGGCCCGCCTGGAAGTTGTAGTAGGGATCGAGCGGGACAAAAAAGTCCTGGAAGGCCGAGGTCCCCAGGTCACTGCCCCAGGGATCCCAGGCCCTGCTGAGCCTCGACAGTTGGTGCCCCAAGAGCACCTGGGCGAGGAGGCGCGAAAAAGCCGACGGGTAGCTTTTCAGCTCAGCAGTGCGCCAGCGGCCCCGCTCATCGCGGCCCGCCGCCGCGGGATGTCCTCCCTCATGCTGGCAGCGGCCGCCATGATGCTGGGCGTCCACGGCGAGGCGGAGCTCGGGGGCGTTGACCGCCAGGAGCCCCGTCGGCTTCCTCGCCTTCGCCCCGTACTCGCACTGGTCCACCTGCACGTAGTCCACCCCAGGGAGCCCCAGCGCCCAAGTGATCTCGGGCGTCTCCCAGGAGGAGATGCTCTGTGGCCTCCAGGGCGCTGGAGCTGGGTGCTCCATCAGCCCTGTGATGCCCAGCGGGCGGCCGACCAGGAGCAGTAGCAGGCAGGAGCGAAGCAGCGCGTTGCCCAGGTCAATCTGCTGCCTCTCCCTCTTGGACACGCTGCTGATGCCCCAGGGTCTGCTCCTGGTCCTGAGCGGTCTCGGTTGTCTGCCCCCTCCGCCATCATCAAGCCATCTGGCCGGGCACCAGGTTTCGCAGGGAGGTCCTCCTATCACCGCGCACACCTGCCCTGCCAGCATGGCATCCCTCCAGAACACGAGGTTCTCCTTCTTGGTCATGTCCCCCCTGTCAGCGTTGTTCTGCACGTCGAGGGAGAGCACCATCAAGGGAACTGCCCGTTCTGCCGCTAGCTTTTCCAGGTGGTCCTGGACGTCGTTGTGTCTTCTGTGGCCACTGAATAGATGGAGTACCAGATTGCAGTGCCATGTAAGCGGTCTGTCCACTGTCACAGGGAGTGCTGGGTCCTGGTGGTCAGGGCCATCATCATCCGCTGGTACTGCTGGTGGACAGGTTGGCCCGAGCGGGCAGGCCCATGTCGGTATTGCCGTAATCCAGTATGGGTCTGGGTCCTTCGGCGGCATCATGGCCTTTGCTGCCCTGAAGCCACTTCTCTTGAGCTTCCTGGTATCCTCTGCCATCTCACAATCAGCTGCTGCCAACTCTTCATCATTGAGTGGAACCACTGTGGCCCGACAATGCTCCATGCATCTGAGGCTTCTATACTTGAGGTGACGGAGAAGACCAGCACGGGTGTGGAAGTCCTTGCCGCAGTTCGGGCAAAGCGTACCTCTGATGTAGCGGTCGTCATCACGCTGAGCATGTACGACTGTGCGGTGTCTCCTCCACATGCCTCGTGTTGCCAGAATCTTGCCACAATCATAGCAAATGAAACCTCGTCCTCGTTCGGGTCGATCTGCCTCCACAAAGGGCGGGGGTGGCATCCCCGCCTCCTGAGCCAAAGATCTGAGTTGTCTCTGCCAAACCCCATGCCTGAAGTACTCCATCTGAGCTGCATGTGCTCTGTGTTCCACTCTCTTGATCAGGTTCATGGCCTTGGCATATTCACAATCTCTGAAGGCGTCAATCCAGGTACGTATGTTCTGTCGCTGCTCCCATGGTATCTCATCAGTGGAGACAAAGTCGCCGAGCCAGAGTAGATCTTCCCAGATCAGGGCATTCCAGCTCCCTTTCTCCTCCCATAGTAGGTCCACGAGGCGCAGGAGCTGCTGATCACCAAAGAACAAGAGTCTCATGAGGTGCCGTAGTCGCCTTGTGCGGAGTATAATCTGCCAGGAAGACTTGTCTGCGTCAAGTAGGACCTCCTCGTCTCGCCATCGAGGTCCATCAGGTATGTGTAACTTGCCCACCGCAGCTCGGTAGGCGTTGACATACTTGGCAGCGACTTGCGAGTCCAGCCTGGTGCCCAACGCGCCCCATATTTCTGCATTGAAGGTGAGGGTGCTGTCGCACAGGGCGCTGGTGAGCGTGATCTTTACCTGTCTATCAACGTCATGTATTTGATTAACCGTAATCCTCAATGGTCCCGCTGCTGCCGTATGCCCGTTGCACCTTCGGGCCATGTTGGGACCCTCACACCCTTTGGTATCCACAACCGTGCCCAGGTTGACCGCCGTCTCCACGATCTGCAGCTGATGGTTCAGGCCCTCGTGCCATAAGTACGCCGGGTGGCTGGTAAGAAGACGGGCCCTGGCTTTTCTGGCACACGGGCCAAAGAAGCCTAGCAATATCTTGGTCTTGGCCAAGTTGAGCGTGAAGCCAAAGATGCAGATGTGCTTGAACAGGATACTGACTATGCCCCTGATGGCGTCCTCAAGGTTGCTGCAGGTATCCACCGCGCAGGGAGTCGTAGCATCGTCCACGAAGGAGACGTCGGTAACCTCGGCTTGCTCTGCGGCGACCGAGGCCAGTATCGGTGCAGGGTCAGGCTTCAGTGTGAGCGTGTAGTTGTGGGCGGCCAGGTCCGTGTGTAGGTCTCTCAGCAGCGTGGCGAAGCCCAGGTTGTATACAAGGTCCGCTAAGCCATTGCCAGGGCGTGTGCCTCGTCGACTTTCCGCCGTGAGCGGACAACCCTGTGTCATGAAGAAGGTGTGCCTGTGTGCCTCTGCTACCGCTGCATGCAATGCTGGATCCACCCTTTGATCCTGGAGCACGCCCGGCCTAGCGAGCAGCGCTTGGAGCGCCGGCTGCATCCACTGTGGGACATTCTGCTGCTCGTATATGTCCTCCAGATCCTCCCTGTCAGTGGGGCCCCTGACAATGTGCTGCCTGACCACCGTGTAGAAGGCGGCCTTCAGGTCGATCATGGGCAGGATGGCAGCCTTCTGCTGCAGACGGCAGACGTGCAGGAAGGCCTTGACCGAGTGCGTGGCCATGGCTGTGCTGCGCTGTGGGATGCCACCGTACTGTGTGTGTCGTAGTAGGTCCAGGTGGCAACCGATGATTAAGTTGCGCAAGAATGCATGGTGATGTTTAGCGACCGTGTTGTTGAGGAGGATGCTCCTGTAGTTGGTGAAGGGTTTGGAAGAGCCAGCTTTGTGCAGTTCCACAGCTGTGCCGATCTTAAACTGCACGGGCTCCTGGTTCAAGAAATTGGCCTTGGTGATGACTGGGTGCCATAGCCTGGCCATGGATCTGCAGCAAGCTCTGAGCGCGTCGTTGGCGATCATGTCTGGCCCTGCGGCCTTGCGCAGCTTGGCTTTGCTGAAGCTATAGGCAAGCCCATGGTGTGACTGCACCAAGTTGACGGGTATCTCACACGGCGGCCTTATCTGTCGTGCCGTCTCGTTGTACCGCTGTAGCAGCTCCATGGGCTGCTGGACCCTCGCCTGCTCCACGCTGGCGAAGTACTTGAGACGTGCGAGACACAGCTGCTCGTCCGTGGTAATGATGGTGCCGTCCACATCCTCTCTCTCAGGGTAAACTGCCCCCCACTTGCCAGGTCTACCGCCCAGCATGAGCATCTTTTTGGCCGTTCTCCAGTGCTCGGCTGGGTCGTTGTGGTGCTTGGTGGCCATGAGGTGGTTGGCGAGCTCTGCCATGGAGTTGTCCCTGTCCTGCGTGAGCAAGGACTTGTAGATGTCCAACGTGTCGTCCAGGAAGGTGCGGCACTGGTACAGGAGGCCCGCTGTGTCCAGCGTGCAGCAGGCTAGTCTGAGCGCGTTGAGCGGCAGAAACCAAGACTCCTGCTCCGTAACGAAATCCTGCCATTCCTTGGGAAGCTTATTGCGGAGCAGCTGCAGCGCCCTGAAGTTGCCGTCCTGCTGCTTTCTGATGGCACGTTGCACGTACCTCCTGATGCGCACCAGTCGCATGGTGGTCCTTGACATCGAGCTCTTGACTGGAGTAAATCGGTCGGCTCCAAAGTGTTCCTTGATGCATGCCGAGGTCTCGAGCTGAATGGCGTGGTAGTGGTCGTTCACATCCATCTCCCATGGAGGCTGCTGGATGTCGTCAAGCGCCCTGTTGCAGTCGTCCCTGACCTTCGGGTCCTTGAGCTTGTGGTGGTCCAGCTTGAAGCCTCCTTTCCTGTCCTTGGTCTGGCCGTTGATGTTGCCCGTGAGGAACGCCAAGACAGGGGAGTGGTCCGAGTTCTTGCACACGCCGTCAAAAGAGTGGTCGACACGTACAGCAGCCACTCTGTTGAAGGAAGCTTCCTGAAGTAGAATAAAATCAATGCGGTGTGGGGTGTGACTGTGGCTGTCCTTCCAGGTGTACTGAGGCTCGCTCGCAGGTCCCTTGAAGAGCGTATTGGCGACGTAGAACGCCCGCTCTGTCACAAAGCCGTGGAGCCGCTCGCCATTGTCGTCCTCGGTTTGGCGAAAGCCTTCCGTGCCCACGAATTCTGATTGCTTGCTCCCAAGCCTGCCGTTGAGGTCAATGAGCACGATGGAGGGCTTGAAGATGTCGCACTTCAACTCGAATAGCCTCCACCAGTCCTTCCTCTCGTTGCCCTGCTGGTCCTTCCCGTGGTGCGGGGTGTGCGCAACCGCGATCACCTCATCAAAGAAGGGAGCGGCCACGCGGACAAACAGCATCCGAGGGTGCCCGAAGAGGACCTTGGCATGCTTTTTCTGGAAGCAGTAGGCTTTCCTTTTGTGGGTGG